TCAGTCAGTAAACTGTCATACTGTCCAAACTCTTGCCTTCTGGTCAACCATTCCCTGACCCACACTCTCCTTTGTGTCTTTCTTCGAGGTGGGGTTGCCTTTTCTTGCTCTTCTAGCCTTTTCTGCTGCTCTTGAACAATGGCTAGAGCAGCTGCCAGGTATAGGCATCTTCTCTTCCCTGCAATGATTGTGTCTGACATTCAGCATGTTGTCTCTTCCACAGCCAATCCAAAAATGACCAGGGGTTGGGGAGGCCCCCTTTTTTATATGGCGTGCCCAAGTCGGCACGACACCGTCCGAATTGCGCAAACTCGTCGTACCAATGCTGGAGGTGCGTAAACAATGCGCAAACTATGCGTGAACTCGTCGTGCCAGTTCGTGTTAAGGTGGACACTGATGGGCACGCAATCGTGAACTAGTCGTGAACAGTGCGGGAGCCTCCCAGTTCGTGCCCCAAAATGGCACGACTTGCCACAACAAAATCGTGGCCAAAAGTCGTGCAAGTGCCAGCCTGGCTTAATTGTGTGTGTGTGTTCATTATATAACTGTGCATTTCTATTACTACGCACAAAGCCAAGTTTCGTTATGATTTTATTCATTTTTCAAAAACCTAAATTAACATATTAATTAATCTAGCTCGAGGTCTCAATGGCAGTAGATATGTTTTGCCGTTTTCAGGAACTGGGCCTTTGCAATACCTAAATCTTGGGATATGTGGCCCATGTTTTCCAATTAATTTCCAGTTCCAAACATTAGTGTATGTTTTAGCTGTTTAAAATTTTGTTTTAATTCTAATGATGCAACCAATATCTCTGTGTATTTTGTATTTCCATTCTTTTAAAGGCTCAATACCACTCTTGTTGTAACTGAATATGTCCCAATCTTTATTCTGGTCAACAAATTGTACTATTTTACAATATTCCAATTAATTGATGATACAAAGTTCATCTTAACACACCTAATTTAAAAAATTGGAAAATTCAACTAAATGATTTGAAAAGCCTGACGTAAAGCTTTTCAAATGTGACTTGGTTTTAAAAATATTTTTGAACCCTCTGGACAAGTAAACTAGGATTTTCTGGAGCTGTCAAGCCAGCAAGAGTGTTATTGTCCCATCTCTGTGTATTTTGTATTTCCATTCTTTTAACAGCAATTGGATCTACATGTAATTCATCTTTTTGTTGGCTTTATCAAGATGGTGTTTACAGTTATTAAATTGGCGTACAGTTACCTAATTAAAAGCACTAAAGGTTTTATATAATAGTAACCTAATGTAGATCAATAAAAGAGACTACAGTCGTAACATTCCCGACGTGTACCTCATATGGGCCTTTGCCATTTGAAGACAACCGGCAGTCAATCCCACTCCCCAAGAAAAACCCTGGGATTAAAATCAGAACACTTGAGTCAATAACAGACCATATGATTCAAAGAGCTAATACATCACAAAAATTAAATTTGTAACACTTTGTGCTGAAACCGTAAGGAATGTGTATTTAAAGGAGGAAAGTCGCTAACTCAATATCACCCACAGTCTTCGTGAAAGATGGACTTCTGATATCAAATATTTAAGAAAAATGAAAATTTTAAAAACTGAAACACGAATTGGGTGCCAGAATGCTTTCGGGCGCCAAAGACTTTTATTCAATTTGGAATCTTCGCGTATTTCGCCGAATATAACTGATTAGAAATTACAATAAAAACAGAAACGAGAGAATGTAAATAATTTTATAGACATTCATATTACATTATTGTATGCGTTGCGACCCATTTGTGTCCATTTCTAGTTGCCAAAGAATATGTATATATATCCCCTTTAATGTATAAGGTATGCTGCATATTTTATTCCTTCGGGTTTGCATGATTAAATAATAATTATATATTATGCATCTTATGTAATAACGTTTTGTGTTGTTTTTTTTAAAGATATTTATTAATATTGAGGGTTTAAAGAATGGTCTTTCTGGGGGACAAGCATTGCGTTGATAGTGATACTGAATGGCTAACCCCTCTTTTCAAATTTTGATACGAAAATAAGCACATGCTGTTCTATATGTGCATACACGGATTGGAACGAACGACTGGGATAGTCCGTAGATACGAAAGCGAATCTCTAGAAACACCAGGGGAAATAACTTAATGTGTTCAAAGGAGACCGTGCCCACGATTTTCAGTGCTTTGTCTTAGCTTTTACATGAAGGCTGTTGTTGATTTTGTCGTTTAGAATCGACGAAGAGGGGCTGAATTAACATTTTCTTCCGGGTTTTGTTAAATATTGATAGTTTGGAGGGGAAGAGATGACCGGGCTAAGAGGGTGGGAGGTAAGAGGATGGTTACGGTGAACTGTTCGGCGGGAAGGTAAATTGTTTTAGTATGCTACTTCAAGTTTGTGTTTCTGACAAGTTCTGTGATCAACCTCATATAAACTTTATAGCAAAGACATGGCCACGTGTTACTCTATCTGTAGTGAAAACTGTTCAGCCCAATGAGAAGTGAGAACTAGGCAAATTAATGGTGGTCTGCGTCAATATGGACTCAGACTAGCAATTATTTGCCCATTGACTTCAATGCTAAATGGCTGTAACATCACAGGCTGTAGCTTTTTTCTCAACATTCCGTTGGTTCCAATCTTTATAGGCACAATGGGGACAACATTTGGCAATCTCATCATAATTTTATAGGGGGTTGACCATTTAGATTTTTTGCTACACGGATTTGAAGTTGACTGGGGTGAAATCTCACTTCCGACACAATGACTGCTCTGCAGAAAGACACTTTACACCCCCTATCCCTCCGCTGTAATATCATCAGTATTACCCAAAACTGCTATGAAATTGCAAATTTGATCCCTTTTCTCCAATTCTAGACCAAAAAGTCAACCCAAAAATGCAGGAAGAGGGGAGAAAAAAATTAAGGGAAAAATTGTCTATTTATAACTCGCACTACGATCATGAAATAAAGGGAAATAATTACTAGTCTTAGTCCTATATACCTCACATGTTTCTGCAGTTTAAACAAATCTGTTGTTATCTAATAAACAAACATATATGCAATTCCCTGGCCAAAGATTATGAAAATCTATGCATTTTCAGATGAGCTGTGCAGCATTCTGCAAACACTATAATACATCAGAAAACTGCGGAATTTCAGACAGAAATTTAAAAGCACATGAATTTTGAATTAAACAGAACATTTTTATTTTTGAACAAAAATGCATTCTGTAAAAAGATAACAAAAATTCAATATAAATCAAACAAGAAAATCCTTTAAAACAGTAATTATCATGTAATATTAGATTTTTTTTAACATTTTCGTCGAAAAGATCTTAGTTTTTCTCTCTTAACGCAGTTTCAAGAGCCAAATTGTGGTCAAATCTAAGATGTTGAAACATGCAGTGCCTATAAATTTTAAAATGTCTCTTACTTAGCTGTATTTACATAGGACAATTAAGTTCAGATAATCTGATTATGTAACACTACAACAGTTTTATGATCCCCACCCCCTAGTATGGAATCTGATACATGGCTGACCAATCATAGTTTTCACTCTCCATTCTGGTCTGTCAAATGATTTACAATGTTGATGGTACCTACAACTTTCCTGACCCAGAGATATGCACAACAGTCAACATACAAGCCATTTATGTTATCTTCCAATATGAGAGGCCATAATAAACGCAAGGCTGTCTTTTTCAAGCTCGGACATGAAGTCAACACTAAACAGCAACGTTTACAGGGGTCCTCGGCTGGAACCCAAACTGATTATGATTTGCCCTCAACTTCCACAGATGTCACAGAGATCAGGGATGAAATTCATATACATCATCTTTCTACTAATGCCAGTCCGGGAAGTCATCGGGTTTTGAGATGTAGACCTGAAATGTTAAATTTGGATGAGACTGAGAATTCTGAGGTGAATACTATCCAGGGAAACAGGATTATAGACATCCAGAAAATGATTGAAATGTGGAATTCTGTCATTCGGTTACATGCCCAGGGGAGAAGAAAGGCCTGTGCAGTACCAAATTTCCAGCCTGTTAGTGAGCAGAAGTGGGGAGCGGGTTGGATGTACTCTGTAAAGTGTACAAAATGTACATTTATCTCACCTGTCTACAAGTTGTATAAAGAGATTCCAACTGGCAAACCAGGAAGAAAGGCAGCCGCTATTAATCTGACCCTACAATCTGGACTGTTAGACATGCCGGTTGGAAACACCAGAGCTCGGCTGCTGTTGACAGATTTGGATATTCCACCGCCCTCTCGCAGTGGCATGCAGACTCTTTCTAACCAAGTTAGTGCTAAAATGACATGGTTGAACACTATTAACATGAGGGAAAAAATAGAAGCAGTCAAATCTTTTAATCAGAAGGGAGGGTCAGTAAACCCAAGTATAATAAATGTTGCAGTGGATGGGCGTTACAACAGCATAACCATAGGCCACAGTAAAAAGCCAGGGCAAGCAGCCTCGCAAGCCATTGGAATTGCATGCGAGACAAACACAAAGCACAAATATATTCTGTGATGCAAAATAAACTGTGCTGGCAAGGTGCCTGGCTTAAGGGAAAAGGTTTTACTGTCAACTGCCCTGGGGGACACGAAGGCTGTACTGGAAATTTACCAGTTCACGCACCATTATCTGAGTATGACATGGGGAAAAGCATTGGCACAGAACGAGCTCTCCAAAACGTCCTCATCAAATATGCAACAACAGATGGAGATGGACGATCAGCTGCTGGAACTGAAGATAGTTTAAAAATTTTGCATCCGATGTGGAGTGTGGAGCGACTAGCTGACCCTTCACACCTGGCTGCCACTCAATTTAGGCACTGCTATAATGCAAAATTCAGCGAGGAGATGTTTCCTGGTAAAACCAGACTGGATAAGGGCAAAATCAAGAAAATACTGAGCCAAGATGTAAAAGCTAGATGCAGTCTAATCATGACTACATTGTTTGAAAATCACTGTGGTAATACTGAGGAGATGAGAAAACGCCTACCAAAAGTCCACTATCATGTGTTACGATGGCGACTGCTCAAAGTGCCGCCTTCATTCTGTTGTGTGCCGGGGTGGGATAACAAATAACTGGTGGAACCGTTCCATGTATCTGGCCTCAAATAAAGTTGATTCCCTGAAAATGAATGAAAATGACAAATCAATTCTAAGTGAAATTTTAAAAATCCGAATAAGTGAAGCAGCTTTAGAAAAAACCAAATTCCAAACAAATACACAGAAATGTGAAGCAATCAACCGCTCGTTGAGTGTTTCATTTCCAAAGAATGTAAATTACGGAAGAAATGCGATGGGTTGACTTTCCTCAACAATATTGAGAAGCAATGATGGAATAAAGAGTGCCACTGAGCAGAAAGCTAAACTCCTTGGGGCCCCTCTTTCTCCAAAGACAAGATATTCCCTGCGGCAAATAGAAAGAGAAAGTCTGTACCACAGAGAATACCAATCCAGACCCGAAGTGCAAATACAAGCACTTCTGCTGCGTGGACGAAAGCTTTATGAATTCCGCGAGTACAAGAATTACTGTGCAGTTGAATCCGGCTACAAAAAGGGCCATTTAGACCAGCCATCAACAGCAGATGACACTTTACAGGATCACAGCTATAGTAAATAAGCAAGACAGACAAATGCAAGCCATTGTCATATACCCACCTTTTGCCTTAATACTTGTGTTGAGGTCAATCATACCACTCTTGCACAGTAACCTGACACCTGAAATGAAAGAAAGATGGAAATAAATATGCAATAAAAAAAAGTAAGAAAATAATAATAATAAAAAAAAAATATGTGGTTGAATAAGAAGGGAGACCTCCTCGCGGTTTCAACTGGAAATAGAAATAATATGCCTCTTTATTTCTAGCGAACACCCCTTCAGTGCCCCCCCCCCCCAACAAGAAACCAGTTAACAGTCAGTAAATAAGTAAACCTTGAGTGTCACATAAGTCTAAACCAATCTCAATGGTAGACACCATGTTTCCAGGTTTGGTCTAAATATTAAGGCCAACTGCAGGTTTAGTCAAAAGTCACACAGGTGTGAATTTTGGAGTGTACATGTTAACATTTCATTGTATGATGTCAAAAACATGTTAGGTCTAAATATTAAGGCTAACTGCAGACTTGGTTCAAGGTCACAACATGTAAATAGGGTTAGGGCACATGATTTTTTGACACAATTGTGGGTTAGGGGTAGGGTCAGGACTAGGTCTTGGCTTAGGCCTAGGCTACATGCTTTTTGAAAAGATTGTGGGTTAGGGTTAGGGTCAGCCCTGTTTACATCTCGTGACTTTAGACCAAATCTGCAGTTGAGTTGGCCTTAATATTTAGACCTAACCATGTTTTGATATCATTGTGAACAAAATGTTACACATTTACAACCCAAAATTCACACTCGGCCAACGGATACCCCCAATCATGGCTATTTTGATACCAAATAGTCAAAAAACTTACTCCTGGGCAATAAAAAAGCAGTATCCTTACCATTTCTGACACTTTCCATTCAAAATTTCAGGAAATAGGCCGTTGAAAAAATATCAACATCCCGAGCCGGCCATGCTTCTTTATATCATCAGGACTAGCAATTATTTGCCCATTGACTTCAATGTTAAATGGCTGTAACATCACAGGCTGTAGCTTTTTTCTCAACATTCCGTTGGTTCCAATCTTTATAGGCACAATGGGGACAACATTTGGCAATATCTACTCATCATAATTTTGTAGGGGGTTGACCATTTAGATTTTTTGCTACACGGATTTGAAGTTGACTGGGGTGAAAATCTCACTTCCGACACAATGACTGCTCTGCAGAAAGACACTTTACACCCCCTATCCCTCCGCTGTAATATCATCAGTATTACCCAAAACTGCTATGAAATTGCAAATTTGATCCCTTTTCTCCAATTCTAGACCAAAAAGTCAACCCAAAAATGCAGGAAGAGGGGAGAAAAAAATTAAGGGAAAAATTGTCTATTTATAACTCGCACTACGATCATGAAATAAAGGGAAATAATTACTAGTCTTAGTCCTATATACCTCACATGTTTCTGCAGTTTAAACAAATCTGTTGTTATCTAATAAACAAACATATATGCAATTCCCTGGCCAAAGATTATGAAAATCTATGCATTTTCAGATGAGCTGTGCAGCATTCTGCAAACACTATAATACATCAGAAAACTGCGGAATTTCAGACAGAAATTTAAAAGCACATGAATTTTGAATTAAACAGAACATTTTTATTTTTGAACAAAAATGCATTCTGTAAAAAGATAACAAAAATTCAATATAAATCAAACAAGAAAATCCTTTAAAACAGTAATTATCATATAATATTAGATTTTTTTAACATTTTCGTCGAAAAGATCTTAGTTTTTCTCTCTTAACGCAGTTTCAAGAGCCAAATTGTGGTCAAATCTAAGATGTTGAAACATGCAGTGCCTATAAATTTTAAAATGTCTCTTACATAGCTGTATTTACATAGGACAATTAAGTTCAGATAATCTGATTATGTAACACTACAACAGTTTTATGATCCCCACCCCCTAGTCTTAGTCCATATGAGTTCTGGAGTTATCCCCCCTTTTGCGACCGGTTTCCTCTAGACTGGAAATTACACCCATTATCGCGATTAATAACTCCTATATTTGTAGCACACACAATTTCATAGGAATGTTTGGTCTAGAATCGGAAGAAGAATGTTTGAGGCCACTCCCAGATAACTGAACCAAGATGGCCATGCGCGGCGAATTCGTTGCACAAAATGATTTAGACTATAAGCCGTCACTCAAGGGCGGATCGAGAGACCATGGATAGGGGGCACCGAAGGAGCGAAGCGCACTACGGGGCTCCGGAAAATTTCGAAAAGTAGTGATTTGAAACAAGAATCCGTGATTCTGTTTGTCTGGATAAACCCAAATAATCTTATCAACTATAACTTATAGCATTCATGAACACAGAAACGTTATATAATCAAAAATTGTCACACAGAACATGCTCGGCACGATTGACAGAGCGGGTATAATATCGTCTGGCCGCGAGGTGTTAAATTGACAGCGTCAGGGCGTACTCCAATCTACGACCGACAGTCCGTAGTGGAGATGACCTCGACCATGGCCTGGGGATCGTGATTACTTGCGCAGCAGCCGGCAATCTGGATCCATATGCCACAAGAACTACTGCTTTAAATCGATCTGTAACTCGTATATAAGTGAGACGGCCCACTCGTGCACCCCCAACTTGTACTGTCTTGGCTTGCCACTTCCGTAGCTTTACAAATTTTAAAATATTACTTGGATGGCAGTAATTTTTGCGAGATTCTGTATGGGATTTATTCATCCACGAACTCGAAAACACGACCACCATTTCTTATCTTAGTCGCATTATTAAGACCATCGTTTGAATCATGTTGTGAAATAAATTCGTCGCGTAATGAGAAAATGAATTCAGATAGATAAGACATTATGTTAAAATATATATAAAAATAATTTGATATGAAAATTAAAGAAAATACGGAAGCTCAAATACGAACTATTTTTTGATTTTTTCGATTTCCTATTTGTATTTTTAATTTTGAAAAAATAATTTTTAATTTTGTAAATTAACTTTTAATTTTGTAAATTCATTTTCAATTTTGTAAATTCATTTTTAATATTAAAACCTTTATTTATAATTTTGAACTTATAATTTTATATTTTAATTTCTATTTTGTAAAATAATTTATAATTTTGTTTTTTTCCCGAGCACCATTCGGCAAACCTCGGCTTTTCTTAATTCTGATTATGTCCATGACATTGTAGCTCGTTTGTAGAACTAAATACTTATTTCTATGGTCGGTACGCAAGTAGCTTGATATGCGTCTCTGTTCTCAGTCTGCCATTATGGTACTTTACTTATTATGAAAACTGATTGCTTAACAAAAAATAGTTCTTAAAAAGGTGTCGTTAGGAGATTTTACCTTGTCTTTAAACACAACGCCTTTGGAAGGCGCAGCCCGAGGTCAGATTGGAAGTACAAAATAGCCGAGGTAGGCTGAATGTGCATGCGTCTTTTGAGCCTACCAACAAAATGGCTACAGGGGATTGCAGTAGGGCTATTACTGTGGATGATGTTAGTAAACCGGGGCAGTTTTGGTTCTGAATACTAAAGTGATTACTGATTAGGTGTTTAATAAGGAGCTAGCAATGACATTGCAGTGTTCGGCCAAATGATGGCAGTAGTGATGATCCGATAATATCGGCGTACGTACTAATTTACATTAAGTTAAGTATCGGGTTTGCCGATATCAGATTGAGATAGGCTATTGGCAGCGAAATATATCGGCCTATACAGATACAATTACCCATAGTGGTTGATAATTGATGTAAATACATGTCATGGTTAGTCGGAAAAGGCCTAGTGGTACTATTTTACCTCGGGAATCAAACCCGACGACCCGGCGTGATGTTATTTGAAACTAGAATGTAAGTCTGTCGGGTTTCTGGTGGTATGTGTGGGATTCCCCGCCCAAAATGCCATGCCCCCCAACTAGTCTAGATTAGCTCAAAAGTGTACCACATGAAAATCGCACAGCAATGTACCGTACATCTTCAGGTATTACAAAAACACTCTGACAGACATTTCTAGTGGTGGGGTACCCCTGACTGAGCTATGTAATTGCCAGACATTTGTAGTGATGGAGTATCCCTGACAAGAGTTATCTAATTTCCAGACCAAAGCTAGGCTAGATTACTAGTAGCTGAAATCTGTACCACCTAAAACAGCCTTACGTTCTGATGATACCAGATATACATACATTGATACCATAAAGGAGAAAATTGGTACACTTTTCAGCTAGGTTGACCCCCTGGGCTCCCGGTCTAAACTGAAAGTGAAAGAAAAATTAAGTCACGATGCCATCACCACAGTCAATAATAAACTTAATTACATTTGCAGTATTTGCTGTATGATTAATTAATTAATAAAGTAGATGATATCAGTTTATTATAATTCAGAATAGAATGGGCTGGTTTATGCGATTAATGATAAAACATCATAGCGATAGCTTCCCTTCTGTCAAGTGTTTTCAAGTTAAAAATTAAACCATCTATTGTCACCTGACTGTATGAAAATTCTCGTTTTTAGCTTGTAGACTCTCGATGTCACACTTTTTATCCTATAGTATTTTGATGAAACTTGAAATGTATACATGTATCCAAAAGATCTCGTCTCCTTTAGCTTGTGATCCTTCTAGAGGTCACAAGTTTTATCCGATTAAAAAAAAATATTTGAAAATATCACTGTAACACCATAATGGGGTTCACAACCTTGGTATTACATACTTTTACACTCTGCGTACAAGGGGCAGCCATTTTGTTGGGTAGTTTTGGTCCGATGTTAACAAAATTCGAACTCAAACATCATTAAGGTGTAACGGTGATATATTTAAACAATATATTATTTGTCCGGCAAATGAAACTAATGAACAGGATAGAGATTAGATTTCTTGAAGGCTTATCAAATTTGGTCAACATTCAAGTTTTCTTTCAGATAGACTGCTGTCTATGGCTATATTTTTTTCAAGAAATAGGCCTACCTGCTGGGATTGTGTATATCGAGGCTTTACGTGACAGGCAATTAAGTCATGGCAAGTGAATCTAAGACATAAATTTTTATTTGCATATTTTGTTTACTAATAGTAATAGAAGGTACACACTTATTTTCAGGTTTGTTCATTTCTTAAAGGAAGGCAGATTTCTTTAGAAACAGTTACAAACTTTATGACTCAAAACGTAAGTTTCATTACGATCTATACATTTATTTTTATACGCCAACATTGTCATGTGGACGTATATTGCTGAAGCTCCTGTCTGTCCGTCCAGACATCCGTTCACAATTTGTTTGTGGACCCTCTACTTTTTTATCAGATTTTGACAAAATTTAAAATATAGGTCTATCTGACAAAGATCTCTGATCCTTTCGAAATTGGCAGGTATCGGATCATACCTTCATGGATTATGGCCCCTGATTGTTCGAAAAGTCACAATGTTTATCTGATTTTGATGAAACTTGAAATATATGTTTATAACGCAAAGATCTTGATATATCGGCATATGGGACTGTAACTTCCTTGATTATGAACCCTGATTGCATGAAAAATATCACGTTTTTTTTAGTTTGTGGAACCTGTAGAGGTCACAATTTTTTATTGAATTTAAAACAATTGTTTAAATATATCACCCTAACACCATAATTATGGTTAAATTCAAATTTTATGAAAAAAAGGACCAAAACTGTTCAACAAAATGGCTGTTACTTGTACGCAACTATGTAAAAGTATGTTATACCAAGGTCACAATTTTTATTTGATCTTGATGAAACTTAAAATACATGTTTATGTTTAAAAGATCTAGGACTACAACTACCTAGATTATGGCTCCTGATTGTTTCAAAAGTTGCATTTATTTTTAGCTTGTTCTCTATCCATCTCTTGCAAAATATGGGTATATTATTTCGCCTGGCAACCACTGGTTTTATATACCAAACAATACAATTGAACCTCTGGATAGATTGATTATTACTGATGCTTGAAAAAT